AATAGTGGGGCTAAGAAAATGGGAAGGCAAGAATCCAACAAGCTACATTATAGTGCTCAAGCATACAAAGAAACGAAGATACACACCGTAATATATTTTCAGTCAAATACTCAAAAGCAGATTCTTGGAAGAGGTGGACATGGACTTACAGCGATGCTCGGAACAGCAGCCTCTGGTCGCTCGATCATTTTGCTGTCACCACCCAGCCTGATACGGACACTCGCCGAGGCATACACCGAGGAACGTCGGAGGGAGTCACGCGAGCTTAGCACAAAATGCTGCTTTCTCTGCTAAAACACCAAAGCTAAGTGAGATAACGGAGACAACGTGGAAAAGTGAATGAATGAATGAATGAATTGGGTCAAATTACATATGGCCGCTTACTGGTGGTACACGGAGGTAGACCTCAGTGAGGAGGAAAATGCTCCAACGGCTGTTTTTCTTCACGAGGGGAACCAGCGGTACTTCCACCAAGCTACTTCCGGTGGAGAATTTCAAAATATATTTCATAATTTATTTTAAATAAATATGAATAGCGACTAATAATAACTACTATTATTATCAACAGACAATAACATTTCCCTCTATTCTACAGAAAGTGAATGAAAACTTGTTATTCTTTAGAGTTGTATTTTTGAATGAATATTGCTTTAAATATACTATGCTTTTATTGGGGCCTGTCATAGCATTAAATAGGCACCTATTGTTTTCTGTCAATAAAATGTCTCTTCATTTATTTATTTATTTTTCTTCAGTCACCGTTAATGCGGCTGGAACCGCAGGCACGATCTCGAGAAGGGAGATGGAGCCCCTTCTCGAGTTACTATGGCGACATAAATCGCGAAAAATCGACGCCCCAAAACCCCCCCAAAATTCCTAATAAACTCTATTTTTGAGGATTTTCTGTGTCGTCAGGAATTCACGAAGAAGTGCCCTGCAAATTTTACTTTGAAGATACGCCCCTGATTTCTTCAGAAGTGAAGACAGCAAGTCGATGCAAATTACGGTGTGTCCACAACTTGGCTCTAAGCCTAAGCGCACCAAATTTTTTGATTATTCGTAAAATTAGAGTGAGAAACGGAGTGCCATTTTGACCCCAAAACATTTTTTTTAACTCGTCCTCAAGCCCACCAATATCGCCTATACTGGTATCAAAGTCGGTCATGATGATAAGCATGTGTAGTGGTTTGAGAAACTGTAAAAAAAAAAAAAAAAAAAAAAAGTAAATTAAAAATAAAATACACCCCCTAATTTTGAATCAGAAATAGTCTTGTCTTTTGTCTTTGTTTTTCTTTTTCTTTTTTCTTTTTATTCTTATGTATGTAGACGTTTTTGTTGTGTGCATGTATCTTCTTGCCTGTGGGGGCGCTCTCGTGCCGCTGTGGGTCTAACGGGGAGAACGAGTTTCCTGCTCTGGGCATGCGCGGCTCAGAATAAACGAGCTTTTGCCAGAGTAACATTGTTTCAACTCGCTTCCTCTGTGATACACAGGTAGGATAAACGGCAATTTTTATAAACCCATTTAAAATGTTCTGCAAATATATGAAGATTATGAACTTAGATGTTATAGAATGGACATAGACATTTGCACAGTTTTATATTAGCCTTGATCTGTGTCGGCATATGGCTCGCTTTTTGTTGTTGGAGCCTTGGGATTTTGAACTTATTTAAATCGCTTGATTACTCAATATTGTGTTTGTATTTGGGTAGCATTGCAGTGTTTTTTTTTCTCATAAAAGTGTATTTATTTGTGGTAGGCTCAATCTCCTTTATAACCTCTGTAACGATTATAACTGACAAATGTTAATGATTAAAAAACGGTTTTAACTAACAAATGTTTTTGACTAATTAAACAGTCATAACTGACAAACGGTGGTGTTTACTGTGTGTAGTAGATGAAATGTTTTGTTCACTTTGGTTATGTTAATTACCATAGCAACGGAACACAGAGCAGGGAAGAGCAACTGTTTAGGACTACAAACACGCATCATCACTGCAGTTCTAACTCTGGCGGAACATTCAGTTAAAATAGAAGGCTGAGCTGCCATTTACAATTACTTGCTGTTTTGGCCAAAATATAACTGATTTAACCCAATCACTGTTACTCACAGGTTTAGGGTAGCCCTTTAAAATAAAGCTTACTGAAAATTTCTAAATGAAAGCCTGAATATTCATCTCAGGCTTTTGTTATCTTTTTCTCTCAGGTTACTGCGGAGAGAGCTACAGATATAATTCGCGGTACTGTCGGAGACAAGAAATGGCACTCTTATATGCTTCAAAAGGTTTTCGGATCGCTCTTAGGGATCCTCCACTGGAAGGAGTTGTTCGGACTGCTTTGTTCAGAAAAACTGCTTCAAACAGTTAGAAATCTGCCTCTCCCTGTGTCTCACTCGCATGACAGTTGAACTGTTCTTTAGAACTACATGGCGGAACACTCAGTGCCCATAGAAGAGGGATGTAAGAACTACAAACATGGCGGAACTGTCAGTTACTACTGATTAGGACTGAGCTAGCAGCCAGTAGTAACAGACAGTTATGCCCACCATTGAAACATACTGTAACATCAATTAATGTAACATTTATATTACTTTATTTATCTGCGTACTACTGTAGAAAGTCTGTTTCCTACAGTATGCACTACAATAGTCATCTGGATTATTTTGTGATATGCTGTTTTGCTTGATCATATTGTTTGATTTAATTATAACAAGACCATTTGTAAATGGCTAGATGTTGCATTCCAACATTTATTTTTTGTTTTCATTATTTAGCGCACTTTCTTCTGTGTGATGATATACTGACAGTTGTTTTAATCAAGAAATGGGCTTTTTCTAAATAAGTTAATGATCCGTGAACACTGCAAAAATGATTTGAAACATGAAAAGTGAATAAGTAATATGGTATTGACTGTGCTTAGTTGCACATCAAGCAGACCAATTACTTTGATTAAGACTGCAAAGAAAAAGCTAGTCCATATTTTTATTATGAAAGTAAAGACAACCATTGTCTCCTTGTTTTTGTCTTGAGTTTGGGTAACTTGATTCTTCTGTTGGGATCCTTCATTCGTTCTCCTATTGGTCAAATGTAAATGGGATAGGCCCCTGGTTGTGGGTGTGGGGTTAGGGTTAGGCACCAAATCTACTACTTTAAAAGACTACAAAGAAGACCAGTACAACAAGAAAAGGATAAATTGTTATTCATGCAGATGCATATCAACATATCTGAATATAGAAGCATTTAAAGCGTTTAAAATCAAGCTCCGTCAATCATAATTAGAGACCTAATTGGTCCAGATGTTCCTGACAGAGCTCTTCACTCTCAGACTACAGCTTCACTGGCGGTTTTAAGAATTTCGAAAGTAGAAATGGGAGGCAGATCTTTTAGTTATCAGCCTTTTCTCATTTGGAACCGACCTCCAGTTATATACTATATACTATAAAGTCTGTCCACCTTTAAGACTAGACTTAAAAGTTTCATTTTTGCAGAGGGTTGTTTTGGAAAAAAAAATAAATCCAAGCACTCAGTGTTTGGTGAAAATCACTCAGTAAGATTTGTTTATATCTCGCACAAAAAATGAGTGGATACAAGACAATCACTCACGCACAGGTAGGAGTAAAACCTCTGTCAATAGGCAGACAGCATAACAGTTTTATAGAAACAGGAATAATCAGGGAGAGGGGAAAAGAATCACAAGGAAAACAATGTGAGTGTCTGGATCTTTGCTCTGCTGAAAGCTATTTCTCTGGGGACAAAAAACCTTCGGTCAGTTGGCTCAAACTTACCATGTATCTGAAAAGGATACATCATAGCATGACATGAACATCAGATTAATAAAGTTGTATCACCTGAAGTAGCACATCAAGCTGCCTTCTGTAACACCCTCCTGGATGGAGGGATTGGCTGAGCTACTGCTGCCTTGAAAACTGTCTCAAGACTGATCTCCTTGGCTGTGTTCCTTCTCTAGAAGAAGCCATTATCTTTCAGTATAAGCTTAGCAAAGTGGTGTCATGGTGTTAATATTTTTGGCAGACAGTGCAGATGCTAAATTCTGCTAGAAAATGCAGTCATCAATTGAATAAAACTTTAAGCAGAAGGAAGCATAAAGTGCATCAAAATGTCATGGTAGAGTAGACTTCGGACTTGATAAAACACGATGGACCAACACTAACAGATGACAATGCTTCCCAAATTATTACTGACTGTAGAAAATTCACATTGCACCCAAGCAGCTTGGATTTAATAATTAATTATGTATTCTTAAAAATTATGTTCCTTTCCACTTTCTCCAGACACTGGCTCCTTAATTTATGAATGAAATACATTAAACCCTGAACTGAAAAAGAGAAAAATACTAACGTTTAGATGGAATTGTAATTAATTGGGATAGACCAGTGTTTATTTATATTTGGTTACTCTAAAACTTTATATGTATGTATTTTTTTGGCCAAATTTTGCTTTGTGTTTAGTGTTTTTATTATAAAATCCAGTGGGTTTGAAAAAAAAAAGAAAAAGAAAGCTGAACTGTAACAAATTAAAATAACTGTATGCTGATGTCCTCAAAATGAACAAAACAAAAGCAATTTAGAAGAAACAGGAAAAAATGTACAAGGGCTTGAGCAACTTTGAAAAAAAAGGCAACATATTACAATTACACATATTGCCCTCCAATGCTACAAACCATATAATAATTAAAACTTTTGACATTTTACATGGAAAATGCTGTCTCTCGCTGTGTTTACATGACTGGGTAATGAGCTGTAAAATACTTTACCTTCAACCCTTTTTAAGAATATTAACAAATATAGACTACACATCAACCAAAGCACCGTTTGCCCCCTTGTTGACCTTTTACTATGGCAATTACAGTAACAGCACGGCAGAGAACAGGCATTCAACTGTTCTGATGCAAAATGATCGAGTTGCGCCATCTAGTGTTCACAATCACGCAATGGAGGCGGCAGCGCTAAAAACGTGAACATTAATCCCAGACTCTGCTACAACTTATAATATGAAAAAGAGACTTTGTTGAATTGGAAAAGTAACATAGGTTTATTTCATAAGAATCAATGTACGTTTAAGAATATAGGAAAGCTGATACTTCTGACAGGTTTACAAAAATCCAAAGTTCAAAAGCATGACTATAACAGACTTTAAATAATTCAATTACAGCAATTAAAGTTTTGCTGTATTTCTTAAACATTAAGAAATAGGATCTGTGCAACAGATCCTAGCTTATTTAATAAAAATTGACACTTTGTTTATTTGTAAGACATTTGTCTTTTACAATAGATATTTTATCTGGTCGGTTCAAACTACAATCAAAACTTACAGTGTTGATGGTTGAACTTAAAGTTGCATTTAACACAAATACTCTTGTTGTTCCATAGCAACCATTATAAAAACACACTTCCTTTATCAGGAAAAAAAAAATTGATTCTCCTTCATCTTATCTTGGTAGTCTACCATAAAATATTAGAATATTTGCTAAATATCATGGAAAGAGAGCTGCTGTTTTCAGTGAGAAACTGTAGCAACACAGCCTACATATTTATGTAAGCTGGAGTGTTGGCATATTATTGTCAAGTTTACAGGTTGGTATTTGCACCAGAAGCTTCTCTGGTCTCCAGGTAGATGATGAGATTCTTCACCCAGGTCTCAGAAGGTCTGACACACATCTGACGGCCGGCCACTGTGTTCAGCCTGGATGGGAAAGAGGAAGAGGAGAGTGTCAGCAGATTCAGGGGCAGGTTCAGTGTCGCTGGTGCAACTTCTGTAACTGTGGATACTCACAAGATGGCACGGTTGGAGCAGCGCTGACTGGTTCTGGTGTAGCTCACAACTTTATCTTGTGACACCGGCTTGTCATTGAACCTGAAGCAGCACTTCTGTGGGCCAACTCCACGCAGGCCTGCAAACAGAAAACACAGAGTGAATATCACAGATCTATGTATTTCCTTTTGTAATTTCCTGTTAAACTGTGAAAGGGCAACATCTGAAATGGTTTCTTCTTGAAATAGAAAAGACTGTGCTTTTTCCACTTTCTGACTTTGCCCATGTTTGTGTCTGCTTTCCATTATTTTGGTAAAAATTAAATATATGGGGTTTGAGAAGACAGAACACAGAAGAAATTGTGCCAATTTTGAACTTCTTTGATGTTAAAATCAAAACACAAATTGAGGAAAAAAAGTTATGGATATGCCCAAAAGTGTGTTCACGTGTAGCTTAAATGTCCTTCTAGCCATTTTGATGTGTCTTTTCTAAAATTTAAATATGTGCGATTTGCAAAAAATGAATCTTCCTTTCTAAAAATTGCTTAACTCTAAAGTCATTGATGCTCATTTATCAGCAAGTCAGTAGCTAAATACCAATATTTTGACACATTTTGACTCTTTACTGATCCTGACACTATCTCAGGCAAAGCAATGCTTTATTATTTAAGTCATTATATAAGTTAGTTCAGCATATTTTTAACTCACTGTATTTTTTTAATCATATAAACTTATCTTAAAATTTAAAAGTTGACTGATAGTCTTTAAATGTATTTAATAGTTTATATTTTATTTCAAAGTTTCATCTTACCTTCAGTGAGAGCGATGAAGGCCATCATCATCACAATCGCAGACAGAGCAAGGCGAGCCATCCTGAGGTGGGTTTGTTGGTGTTAAGGGTTGAAAATCTCAGCAAACGTTGGCTTGTTATCTCTGCTGTTTGATCACCACCTGCCTTCTTATTTATACATCAGAAAAGGGAACCGCCCCCCCAAATTCCATTTTTGGGGGGGAATTACCTACGTACATGGGAGATTTTTTTTAAGGTCTTCTTTGTGTCTGCTAGTACGTGATATCTTATCACTTCCCTAAAAATGTTTAATGAGGAAGAGAGTGGTTTCCCTTCCTGACCAAAACTGTGGTTTCTCCCACAACCGGGTCACATGATCCTCTATCTGAAGCCTCTGTATACAATGCAAAACCTCATTGCAGAGAATTTCTAAGATGAACCGGGTTTTTTTTTGGGGTTTTTTTTTTTTTTTTGGGTCCTCAATAACAATCTCAGTCATAGAGGCATAAGTAATTGTCCATTGTTCAGTCTGAATCTGAAGTTTTATTAAAAGAGTTTGAAGGGGATTCGGACAAACTAAAAAACCCATCTCAAAGAGCACTGTTGTGGGAGAAAGCTACGTTACCAAGCACTGTCAGGTGAAATCGCTCAGTCAGGTTTATTCATATAATGTGCACAATACAGAGAGCTTGTAGGGCAATTATAATGAAGCAAGTCTGGATGAAAAGCTCTGCCAGGCAGAGACAACACTTGCGGTTCATACCAAGGATAAGAAATTCAAAACAAGGGGCGAGAAAGTCTGGTTCTGATGCAGAACAACTTCCAATCTTGCACATGTAAGAGTTTTTTTTTGGTGAGAGTTCACAAGCATTTCATATAACCTGATCAGCAGATGTTAACTTGTAGTAATTTTCCACCACAACGCCAACACAAGGAGCACTGGGACCCTGATCTAATACTTCACATCAGACCGAAACATCCCTCAAACCTGTGGCAGTAAAAGAGACTTCACCAATGAGAATCCAACCCTAAAAAAATAGTCTGCCAATGAAAAAATATTAATTTGTTTAATACTGCCAATGATTATAAATATGTTCTTAAAACAATTAATAAATACTTCAGGAAATACAAAATTAATAACAATCACAACATGTCTTTTGACATGTCTTGCACTGTTTGAGTGTTTCCTTGTCTTAGAGAAAGCAAAAGTCATGAATAAGATGAAAGTTTTACATTATTTTCAGCCCCCTTTTTGGCATTTGCGTTTATTAGCAGGCTAAATTGACAAAGATAATGCAGTACTTTCATTCCACAGAAGAGAAAGCCACATAGTTTGAGTAAGTAGGAAAAGGAAAAAAACAACAACAAAAAACGCATCTGCATTGGTTTTGGTCATTGGTCAAAGGAGTTTTAGTATAACGGCATATTGGATAAAGACCAAAAATCCAATATCGTGCATCCCCAATAAAAATATGGATGTTGACTTTTTAAAATGTGTAAAAATAAAATTCTATGAAAGTAACAGTTTCAAATGTTAAAACACACACTTCAGAATGAGTCATCACCGATATCTATCACTGTGCAGAAAAGAACAAACCCATTTGACATTTCTTCTGATTATCACTTCATGTTTGTTCAGGTTCACTGATACAACTGTCATTGGGGAGTTTTTCCACTTGACAAAATATGCAAATTTAAATAGCAAGACATCTCTGCAGTTCATGAAAAGCAGAACCTCTACTTGCTGGTTTCGCTTCTTCATTGGGCTTGATTTAAGAAATAATAATAAAACAGTTTTTGTCTTCGAATACACATTTAGATAGAACTAATCGGGTGTGACTCAGATATTAATATTTGATGAAATTAAAAAAAAGCAGAATTAATCGATGTAAGACTTCATTGGCGCTCTTTCCATTTGTTCACACTATGATCCATGACCACTTCTGTAATTCACAGCCAACGTCATGGGCGGCCGCTAAAATGAACAAGTATTTCCACTCAAAAAATTAAGGCTCTTTTGTTATGTATCTTGGAAAAGTATAAGAACATTATAAGTTTGTTGAAGATTAAAAAGAGAAAATTAACAGATCTCTCAGCCATGCTACAGCAAAGTGAGGCATCATTATAAGCCTAAAATGTTATTGTACAGTTGTATCTTGTACATACAGCTGTACAAAATTACAGCTGAACTCCTCTAGTAACTTTATCCTACTTTGATTTGAAAAATGAAACTTTTTGATAAAAATCCCAGGTTCCTCAGAATGCTGTCAGGACTGGATCTACATGTCTGTTGATGTGAAAAGTTAATAACTGTGTAAGTTGCCAATGTTGAACATACATAGAATGTTTTCTAAATTTGAACTTATGTTACCTTCTTTCACATTAGACCTTTTTATATTCCTGCCCCAGTGTGGCTTTTAGGGAATTAACATGTGATTATGGACATCTAAGTCCAGGTCTTTGAATGTCATTAGTGACAGCAGTAATGGGAATTGTGATCTACATTTAGTGTGGTTGGACTCCATAACCAAAAAACAAGCGAAAGGACAATGTATCCTAAACTATTACTGCCAGGAGTTGGACTCATCTGATACAAACGGCATTATTTCTCTTGCAGTGTAATTTAATTATAGATTACCTGTTAAAACTCAAATTTTGACAACAAACCTGGTAGAGGAAAACCATTACAAAATGAAAACCCAAAACTGTCGAACATCTTGCCATTAAAACTGACCTGCAGAAGTCATAGAAAGCTATCAATCTATTTGGAAGCTCACAAATCGAGCCCTGATTTTTTTCTTTCTCATTTCTTGTGCACTGATTTCAGTGTGTGCAGATGACATATACTTTTATCAGAGTTAATGAAAGTGTACTTTCTTACTTAGTTGGAGCTTCTCCTTTCTTGGAGTTGTAGTTTACCCATTTTCCCCTCTGTGCAACACCCAGGTCCGTTTACCAGTTTCAGGACCCGACTGAAACCCCAGTGTCGTTACCTTGAGAAATAATTAGATTTGGTTAAATATAAACCAGACTTCACTGCCAAAAATGATCAAATGTTACATGTCATACAAATGGAACAGGTACAGAGGGACATTCACGGTCCAGCGCAGGGCTCCACCCAGCTAAAATATGGCAGACCGTTCTGTCAAGCCGTCACATTGACCCTTGGCCCTCCACACAGAACGACATGTCTCCAGTGACGGCCCACAACCCTCAGTGTTGCGAAACCCTGTACACGTCCCACAAAGCTAAGCTAATGTAATAGTAAGATTGAAGTAATTAAACATGATAAAAATATGGCTGAAACCAATGAGTAAAAACATACCAAATTTAATATGATTCTCAAATAAACAATCATGATTAAAGATATTGCTAATGTAAAGGAAAAGAGAAAATGGATAAGTAAAATGGAGGAAAGTGGAGGAAAAAGTTGTAAAAAGGAAAACCTATCATTCCAGCAAAATGAGCATGTAAGATAATATGTAAGATTAGTTAATATGTAGAACCTCTATATACTAATTCATTGTCGTCTTGGCTCTGGGCTGTCAAGACCATCCCAGATCATCCCATTATTCCCGTGCTGGAGATTTTAGTGTCGCAGTAAGAATACATGAAGTCACCTTTAATATTAATCACACAAAATGACATCTATTCCTCAGAGGGAAATCAAACTTGAATAAAATCAATCAGGTTGCGTTTTTATGTTTTGTCTCATGCAAGTGGGTAAACTCATCAGATGATGAGTTTGTTGCGGTTGGCAACAAACTTTTAGCAGCATTACCGCCACCTACTGGTATGGAGTGCGTAATGGTCTAATTCCATCCATCCATCCATCCATCCATCCATCCATCCATCCATCCATCCATCCATCCATCCATCCATCCATCCATCCATCCATCCATTTGTATATTTTTACTCCCTAAATTCTTCCTCAAAATATCAGACACATCTAAAACCCTTAGTACACAGGCACTCAAAGTCATGGAATAATTATTCCCAATCTATTTTTTTAATGTAATTTAATTTGATTTAATTTAAGTTTATTCTTTTTTTGTTTTACCAACTATGTTATTCAATCTGTTTTGCTTATTTTATGTGCTGATTAACTGCCAAAATGCTAGCAAACTATCATATTAGCAGGTGTTATGTCTCTTGGTTTATATGCTATATGTGGGTTGTAGAGAATACATTTTGCCCAAAAACTCAGTGACAAACTTCATAATCTGAGGTGTTGCTGTAAATGGTGTTCACGCATCATCACATTTTCAAGTTGAGTTTTACGTCCTCTTTTTTTAATTCTTCTTTTATTGTCTTCTTATTTCGTAGGGTAAAAACTGATTAAGGTAATCTAGTTTTAGTAAGATATTCTCAGAAAATGGATATAACATGTTACAGGTCAGGCACACAAATAAACTGTTGTAAGTATTAAGGGCTAAATGAAGTGATTTGCTTATCAGTAGTCGATCAGTACCTTTGGCCTCATATAGTAACCAGATTGATACCTTTGCACAGGCAACCTGTTGACAGACATGACATCTGCAGGGGTCATGCAGATGTCATGACCCCTGCAGAGTTGGAGGCGGCAGCGCTAAAGACGGGAACATTAATCCCAGACTCAGCTACAACTTATAATATGAAAAAGAGACTTTGTTGAATTGGAAAAGTAACATAGGTTTATTTCATAAGAATCAATGTACGTTTAAGCATATAGGAAAGCTGATACTTCTGACAGGTTTACAAAAATCCAAAGTTCAAAAGCATGACTATAACAGACTTTAAATAATTCAATTACAGCAATTAAAGTTTTGCTGTATTTCTTAAACATTAGCGAGTGCAACAGATCCTAGCTTATTTAATAAAGATGACACTTTGTTTATTTGGAAGACATTTGTCTTTTACAATAGATATTTTATCTGGTCAGTTCAAACTACAATCAAAACTTACAGTGTTGATGGTTGAACTTAAAGTTGCATTTAACACAAATACTCTTGTTGTTCCATAGCAACCATTATAAAAACACACTTCCTTTATCAGGAAAAAAAATAGATTCTTCTTCATCTTATCTTGGTAGTCTACCATAAAATATTAGAATATTTGGTAAATATCATGGAAAGAGAGCTGCTGTTTTCAGTGAGAAACTGTAGCATCACAGCCTACATATTTATGTAAG